TGCACTATCCTCCTCCACTTTGACAAAATTTTCAATTCCTTAACAGAAAAAAGTATTGTCATTCTTTTACTTTTTGTATATAGACACGCAATCAAATGTAATGCATATTGAGTGCAAATGTTAGTTGCGGTGAGATAGTCACCTGATTTATTAAATTTTATATCAAATTTAAGATGCATTTCAAGATAATTTCTATGACATGTCATTAATATTCAAAAGTTTCAACAGAAGTTGTACATACTCATAAAAGTTTGGAACCACATAGCGGCACGTTCTTCCTTACAATTGCTTTTGCTCCCTTTGTCTAAGAGATATGGACAAGCAGCAAAACTTTGCTGAATAGGAATTTCACCCATGTAGTTCGATTTGATCAACATGTCTAAACTACATATTCCTTTCTAAATTCTAATACACTTACATACAAGTGAATTTTAATATCAACACCAAGCTTTGCAAAGAAACCTACAATTTGTGAGATATATAACTGACAAAACGCAGTGGATATGACAGAGCATCAAATGTAATAATCAAACTCAGAGGATATAAAAAATTTCTAGTTGGTCAATGGGCTCCACAGATACTCGTCGACATCATTAGGTGCAGTTCTAGTTTGATGCCCCTTTTTTTCATAGACAATGGGATTGGCATTGATTAAACTGGAAACCATTTTCCTCAGTCAGCGTGATGCAGTTCGCAGAAGCCCCACATTAAAAACTATGGTCCATGCTCAAAAGCGACCAAATTGAAGCCAAATCGATATTGAATTATTGCATAAACATTGAACACTATTGTCCCCTTGTTCATAAATCATAGGATGATGTGCAAAAGGAAACAAAATAACAATAAATCTGTAGATTACATATTCAATTCCAATTGAAATTCTTCGCGGCCTAAATCTGCTTAACAATTTGTCCTTTATTATAATACATGATCACTCACAAATACATCATTAACCCCAAATTGTAAATAACAGCACATTGAAGCAGGGATATCTAATGATTTCTATATCAACTCATAGAAAAAAACAAAAGAAGAAAGAAGGAGAAATTACAAAAAGAAACCAGAGTTTGACTCTTGTAACAAAATAAAACTTAAGTTTTTAATTTTGTCCATTTAAACCCTAATCTTTGGATTTGTTTTCAATCTAAACCATCAGTCAAGTTTCATTAAGTAGAACCGACTGAAAAAGGGTATTTCAATTTAGACATTAAACTCAATGTAGATGTACATAAAATGTCTGAAATACCATTTTTTGTTGAGTTTAATGATTAAAGGAAAATGAGTGAGAGCACTAATTAGTGCTATCACTAATGATGTGGTAGTGGACCCTTGTCACGTCCCAAGCTCCGTGACAACGCCGCACACTCATTTAAGTGAGCATGCAAGGCTAAGAGTCCAACACATAACCAACAATGTAAAATACTCCAATTAAATCCTTAATTATCATAATGCTAAAATCCATAAAAATTGATTATTCTTATCATATGAACTTATCCACCAAGTCCACTAATAAAATCTATTAACAAAACAAATAATCCAAGTACTTAAATCATAGTCCTACTCTCAGCACTCCCACATGTAAAAAAAAATCCTGCGCAGCTCTACTCTTCAGAATCTGAAAAAAAATAAAATAAAATAAGGGTAAGCTAGATAGCCTAGTAAATAACCAACCATCACTGCCAGCTGGATCAAGTATATCAAAACGAAGTAAATAAATAGTCGATAACCAATAAATATAATTTTTGATACAAATCAATAAATGACACGATTATTTGTAAGATGGTTTCATAGCTAAAAATAAACAGTGTAGCAATACATTTTAATTAAAAGTCAATGGGGTAACTCGATGAAATTTCATTATCCAAAATTGATAGATCGATATTCAGATGGTTCAATGATCGATTCACAAAACCCAAGTCTTAATGACTACGGTCACTTAGCCCGTGACAAGGCCCAGAACCACACATAGGCTGGTGGTAAAGCTCCAAAAGAAACTAGTTTCTGTGACAATAAATAACCCCTATTGGCTAGTGTCCAAATCATAGTCAGACTAGAGTGATGTTCAAAATTCACACAATACACAAATTTTAAATAAAACATTCGATATTTTCAGAATAAACGTTTAGTATAATTTTCAGAATAGTTTCACCGAATATTCAAATAATTTTCATAATAATATTCGATGTTGTTTTATACTTGACCCATATTTTATTTTAAGAGAACGGGAAAGCTACAAATAAATATTTATGATTTTAAACGATTTGATAGGATTAAAAATAAACCAATAGTGATAGAGGGTTACTTATCTCAAATGCTTAAAATAATATTCCAATACTAACTCTAAACACCCAGCTCCACCACTTCAATCACACAAACCTAATAAAATATTATACCACATAAACAATTATTATTGATCACCATGATGCATCTATCATTCTTTTCTTTATAATATAATAATCTAATAATATAGTCTACAAGTAAAACCCAAAACCCCAAACCCCAAAATACAGCTTCCTCAATCTTCAAGACTTCATCTATTCTATTGTTATTTTTTTTTTTTTACATATATAAACCCATAGTTGTTAGAAGTCAAAGCCAATAAGATTGCTTATCACATATCAGACCCAAACACGCACACCCAAACCACATACCAGATACTTGTAGAAAGGAATAGTTAGGAGTACCATAAAAAAAACTTACCTCCAAGAGATGATTAGATCAAAATCACCAATCTATGAATCTTCTTTCTTTTCTTTTCTTCTTCCTCTTTTTCTCTGTTTTTTTATTTATTTTTTATTTTTATTTATTTTTATTTTTTTTTATACTACTCCTAAATCTGCCGCAGCAGCCACAACATCCAATACCTCTATTTGTTTGTGCTTATATGTTTCCAAGACCTAAAGCCCAAGTGGGCCTATAACCCAATCTCCCAAAATTACAAACTTAACCATCTAAGTAATAAAAATTAAAAAAAAACAAACTTAACCATCTAAGTAATAAAAATTATGAAGCCACCTCATAACTAATTCCTTGATAGTACTAAATGACCCATATAAATTAATTTAACTATTACTTTATTCAAAAAATAATTCTACACATAAAAATTTGGATTTTACAACCCCACCATGAATGATTTGATGTTTTGGCCTTGGTGTTGTATTTTTTTTTCTTTTTTTATTGAGTGCCATGTCATTAGTGGTCTTTTTAGAGCTCCAAAATTAGTGGTCTCTATCATTGCTGATGATTAAAATACATTTTTTCTGTCGGTTTTACAGTAAAACTTTTACTTAATGAAAAAAGGCAAACGGTTTAGATTGACAATAAATCAAAAGTTTAGGATTTGAATTGATAAAATTAAAAACTTAGTTTATTTTGTTATAAGAGTCAAACCATAGTTTCCTTTTTTTTTTCAATTTCCCCAAGAAAATCGCTTTGACTTATTAGACTAGACAGGGAAGGTCTGTCCCTTCTCTATTGGAAGAAAGTAGATGATGACGTAGGGTAAATGAATCAAAGAAAGGGAATACTCAACTTGAGAGATTGAATTTCGCAAGTTCGAGTGTCTATGCATTGGAGGAAGACAACGAGAAGACTAATTCCATAATATCTTATTCTGCTCATCTTTATATAGGTCTTAGTTAGCTTTTTAGGGATTCTTTAGGATAAGCCTAATAGGAATAAGAAGACAATACCATTAACTGGTTTCATCCTCAATTTTAGTTGCCTCATCCATTACCAAGGTTTCATTCATGATTTTCAACCCATATATGTGATGTTTATTTATTTTTTTATTTTTTTCCCAAATTGATAGCTCAACTATTGAAATTTTTTTATTTCTTTTCTAAACAATCCTTTGTCAAATGTAATTAATAGTATAAATATTTTTCCTACACATATTAGTAAACAACTACAACACCAACTGTTTCAAGAGATTGAAATAGTGTACCCAAGAGCAGAAACTAGGGTTAAAAAATGTAAATCTTAATCATGGTTAAGATATGTCAATTTGGGGGTATTTTAAAACATTTATTATTAGAATAACAAAATTATATTGCCCATACACCCCTACCTGAAATAATCCCCAAGTCAAAGAACATGCCTTCAAACCACAAAAATCAAATATAGGGTCTCACATACACACATATACACATATATAACTTACAAATCTACAAGAAAATACACACATGCATGTATACATATACATGTGTGCTTGTTTACATATTGTATTTTCGAACGACAATGATTATCTCCAAGATTTTGGGAACTTTTATAGCAGTTTACATAGAAATTAACAAGTAATTTATATATAGAGAGAGAGATAGATTGATTGATAGATAGGTAAAGATTTGTACCTTTCGATATGAGAGAACAGAGCCCTGGAGAGAGAGAGAGAGAGAGAGAGAGAGAGAGAGAACCGCCTAAAATTGGGAAAGAAACAACGGGTAGAGGTAAGAAAAAGAGAGTATATTTATTTGAGAGTGAAATCAACATGAATGAAACATTTTTCCCGCTGCTCAATAATTTATATGAGTGATATTGGTTAGTATTTGATGTATGATAAGTTCATTATCCATCATATTATGAGCTATATCTTTAATAAGTTCATAATCCATCATATTATGAGCTAAATCTTTTTTTGTTTTTGTTTTTCTCTTTTAGCTTCTATGGCATCAGTGTTTTGGTTTGAGCCAAGCTCTCTTATGTACAATAGAATTACTTGAGAGCATAAACCAAAAAATTGAGAGTGAAATCAACATTAATGAAACATTTTTCCCGTTGCTCAATAATTCATATGAGTGATATTGGTTAGTATTTGATGTATGATAACTTCATAATCCATCATATTATGAGCTAAATCTTTGTTTGTCTTTGTTTTTCTCGTTTAGCTTCTATGGCATCAGTGTTTTGGTTTGAGCCATGCTCTCTTATGTACAATAGAATTACTTGAGAGCATAAACCAAAAAATGAAATTATGACAAAACTAGATAGAGAAGGCATACATATAAATGTATAGAAACCTTGACTAGTTATAAATATTTGATGACAATGCCACAAGTACAACCATTTTCATGCCTTTTCTAGCTCAACAATTAGAAATTCAGAAAAGAAAAGAGAGGGGTGAAGAAAAGTGAAGGACATAAAATTCTAGAACATCAAAATAACCTACAGATGTGGCTTTAGTTAAGAATCATTTCTTCTTCCATCCTAATGCCTTTGTCCCCTAACCCCAAGAAATACATTTCTAATCTTGTGTAGTTCTTTGAGAACATCTTTCACACTCATTCTTTCACTCGGCATTTCAACAGAACATGAAACTCCAATTTGAAAGACTGGTACTAGGCAAGGCTCTGGTTTAGAAATGTTGGTTGTACTACTTTGCATGCTCCTACTTGGCTCCACTTCCATTTCCAATATGATTTGGGGATCAACAATCTGCATTACTTGCTCCGGAAGACACATTTTTACATAGCTATGGAGGTTTACATTACCTGTAAACATGTTACTAGTTGGTCCTTTTCCTGTGTACATTTCTAGTAGTAACACTCCATAATTCTACATATCACCTTGCGTTGATACCTCCTCACCGATACCATACTCTGCAATATGAAATAGTGAAAAAAAATGCCCAAAATTTTTAATTTTGGTATAATTGTTGAACTAGTAAGTTGTATTTCTTTTGCTAAAAAAACAAAAAAAAACAAAAAAAAGGTTCAATATTTCAAAAGATAAAATTATGTCAAGGGTTAAAATCTATGTTCAAATACCATAGGGGTAGGACAATGGTTGATTTCATTTGTTGTGACAGCTATACAAACAATAAGGCAAAGTTAAAGAAAGTCATCTCTAAAACATGGCTTAATTTCTATACAATCTCATAATTGGTTTTTAGTTCAGCGCGAGATAATAATATAATGTAACTAAATAATATTTCTTAATCAATTTCAATGTAAGAAGCAATAAACAATTACCTGGGGCAACATAGCCAATTGTTTCTCTGATCCCAATTGAACTAGATTGCTGACGAATAGAAATTCCATTGGTTGCAAAAAAAATCTTTGCCAATCCAAAATCACCAACATGGGCACACAAATCAGCATCAAGAAGAATATTACTTGGCTTTAAATCACAATGAATAAAGGTCATTTCACAATGATGATGAAGATAATCCAATGCACATGCCACATCAATGGCAATGTTTAGCCTTTGAACAAAGTTCAAGTTCTTAGGTTCATGTTGCTCTAAAAGACATGGGTGTAACCAATTTTCTAAGCTCCCATTTTCCATGAACTCAAAGACCAAAGCCTTGAAGTCGTGGCCTTTAAAATCAATGCTTGAGCAAGCTGTAATTATCTTGACAAGATTCCAGTGGCGAATGTTCTTCAGTGCTTGACATTCTGTTACAAAAACCTTGTTCGCTCCATGTTCATGTAGGTTGAGTACTTTCACGGCAACAATTTGTTCATCCGAGTTGAGAATCCCCTTATAGACATAACCATGTCCTCCCTCACCAATTAAGTTGGCTGCAGAGAATCCATTGGTTGCTTGAAAAAGTTCTCCATAATAGAGTTGTGGATATTGGTTTTCCAAGGGTGAGGCTAAATTGACTTGTTGCCTCGACCTTCTGTTCCGGTAAAGAATAGCTAGAATGCACAATGATAATACAACAATAGTGAGAGTAACTACTAGAACTATTACTCTATGGTTGGAAGGTCGTTTCCTTTCATGTAAGACTTCAATCGGGCATGTAGGCAATTGCAATAGTTTAATTCCACCGCATAGCTTACTATTTCCAACAACTGAGAAGGCACTACTATTTGTGAAAACTCCTCCATTTGGAACTTCACAATCAAACATATTGTAGGAAAGATTGAGATATTGAAAGAATCGAAACTCCCCGAGAAACCTTGGAATCTGTCCAGACAAGTTGTTCCTAGAAACATCTAGTTCTTGAATACCTTTCAATTGTCTGAAGGCCATTGAAATTGTACCTTCGAAAAGGTTACCATCGATGTAGAGGAATTCTAAAACTTCACAATTGCCGAGAGTGGCACAGATTTCTCCAAATAGTTTATTTTTGATACATATAGTCCATCCAGATTTTTCAAGTTACCCACTTCTTGTGGTAGTAGGCCTGTTAAGTAATTTTGACTCAAGGATAGATAAACGAAGGAAGATAGACCAAAGATTTGATAAGGTATTGCTCCAGTGAGATGATTGTAATGGAGACAAATTTGTTGTAAATTGGTACAATTGCCTAAAGAAATAGGAATGCTTCCCTCAATCGTATTTGTTGATAGGTCAAGTGTACCAAGCCTACACAGGTTTCTAATAGACGATGGAATCTCTCCAGAGATATTATTTTTGTAAAGCATGAGGATTTCCAACATGGAGAGTTTTCCAATGGAATTTGGAATACTACCAGTAAGCATGTTATCATCGAGTATGAGGTATTGCAAATTTACAAGGTTCCCAATACCAAGGGGTATGCTTCCAAATATGTAGTTGTCTTGTAGAGTCAACCAAGTGATCTTGGTGCAGAGATTTGCAATAGAATGGGGCAACAAACCTTTAAAATGATTCGTAGCCAAATCCAATTGTGTTAGACTGGAACAATTGAATAAAGAAGTGAGGAAGCTCATTAATTCATTGTGTTGGTTTGTTCCAAGTGAATTGTCAGAAGCAGCAAAAGATTCTAAAGCATAAAGGGTTCCTAGATTCATAGGCATGGGCCCAGTAAACGAATTGTTGGTAAAACTAATTTGTACAAGTCTCGTAGCATTGGCTATTGACGATGGAATTTGGCCATAGAATTGATTGGATGAGACATAAAATCCTGGTAAATTTGGAAGTGTCAAGCCTAAATCTAGTGGTAGAATTCCATGCAATTGGTTTTTATTGATAGAGAAGAAATAGATTGATGAGATATTGTAAAGAGAAGTAGCAACCATACCGGACAAATTGTATGCTGATAGCTGAGGATACTCCAACTTGGAAAGCTGCCCAAGTTGAGTGGGAATGCTTCCCTCTAGATTATTGTACGGTAGAGAAAGCGTATGTAGATTGGAAAGGTTCCCAATTGAATGTGGGATAGCTCCAGTGAGATGATTGGCTGCAAGAATCAAGTAGGAGAGATTGGACAAGGAACCCAGGTCTGTAGGAATTTTACCTCCTAGATTGTTACCACCCATATGGATAACTCTCAAGTTCGAACAATGAATCAAATTGATTGGAAATTCACCTTGAAAAGAGTTATTCACAAACTGAAGGTACTGCAGATGAAACAACTTGCCAATTTCTTGTGGGATTTTGCCATGAAAGCTGTTGTTACCAAGATCAATCCTCCTGAGGAAGGTGAGATTCCCAATTTGAGGAGATACAAAGCCCACCAATGCAAGAGAAGACAGGTTTAGGAGTGTGACACGTTGTTGTCAACGACCGCATGAGACTCCTTGCCAATTGCAAAAGTGAATTGAATGATTCCATGAGCTTAAGGCACCCAGAGGATCTCCTTGTATCAAATCCTTGATTGCAAGCAGTGCCTGATGGTCTGTCTTGTTGGTGAGAACTAAACTGGGGTTGCCTTTGGCAGTGGTAATCAGTTCAAGAGAGTTCATGAAAAAGAAAATGAAACAAAGACAACTGAGAAAAGTTGAATTTGTTTGCTCCATTTCGCGTCAAAAATAGATTATTATGATGAGAAATGGAGCTGATCAACTTGTATACATTAATGGAGAGCCAAATATATGTATTTATATGGGAAATTATTCAATACTTCCGGAACACCACATATCCAAATCAATCACCAATTAGTTAGCCCCATGTTGTCCCCCCATCTCCACATAAATCGAGGGTCCTTGTGTCTCTTCACCAATCAAAACCTTATGGAGCACCACGTGTCCATATTCCGAGAGTACTGAATAATCACCCGTGTTCAAGAGACTTATATAGACATGGGCAAGGTTTATGTTAATTAATGTGGAATCATAGTGTCATGCCATGGCTTGAGGCAAATAGTGGAGAGATGTTGGGGAATTTTCAAAATGAGTTTTCAAATTTATAGTTTATTTTTGAGTGTTTTTAAAACCTTTCATGTTTTTCTTTGGAAAGCATGAAATAAGCTTGGGGCTTTGTTCTACATCAAAAAAAGAGGAAAACATGGAGCACTTCATAAAGTGCTACATGAAATATTCTTTTGAATATGGTATTATGGAATGAATGTTAGTGTACATGCACTCACATCGCAATGTGCTTCGCACCATCTGCACATGCGCCCGCGACGTGGGCAAAGTGTGGCGTGTCTGTCTCGTTGGTGAGAACTAAACTGGGGTTGCCTTTGGCAGTGGTAATCAGTTCAAGAGAGTTCATGAAAAAGAAAATGAAACAAAGACAAATGAGAAAAATTGAATTTGTTTGCTCCATTTCGCGTCAAAAATAGATTATTATGATGAGAAATGGAGCTGATCAACTTGTATACATTAATGGAGAGCCAAATACATGTATTTATATGGGAAATTATTCAATACTTCCGGAACACCACATATCCAAATCAATCACCAATTAGTTAGCCCCATGTTGTCTCCCCATCTCCAACATAAATCGAGGGTCCTTGTGTCTCTTCACCAATTAAAACCTTATGGAGCACCACGTGTCCATATTCCGAGAGTACTGAATAATCACTCGTATTTATATAGCCAAAGGTTTGGGGCTTTTTTTTTTTTGCGTTCTTGTGGGAGCAGGGAATTCAAAATTTATAATTTTATGATCCAATTAATTTTAATTTTTAGTATTTTATTTATGAAAAAGATGCACATAATTATCTTGTGTTATGCTTTATAGGAAAATTGTAAATTATTCGACTCAGTGAGTTAACCTAGACAAACTCAGTGACTATTTTCTTTCTAAAACCCTAATTGACATTATTAATTAGATCAAATTGACACCAAATTTAAGATTAAAGGTCAAAATTGAGCTAGTTAAAATGACAAAGATCAAAATAATACAAATGTCAAAATGTAGTGATCACTAATATAATTTGTCTTTCTTTTCTTTTCTTTTTTTCTTTTGTGTTCGTAGTTTATTGTGTTATTTTATTATTAAGGAGTCGTCACTTGAAAGTCAAAAATTTAATCCCAATAGCAAATAGTTACATCGTACACATCAATTAATTTTTTTTTTCCTGACAACTATTTATTTAATTAAAAAAATCTTTTCTAAACACATCTTTTTTCACCTCATAAAAAAGCCTAAAAAATTAAGATCCACTAAAAAGACTATGTTCTCAAACAAGTTCTAAGAATATCTAAACTACTCTTACTTGCTGGCTAATGAATGGGGGAAATTCACATCTACTCTATCGAGTTGAACTCGCACCGGTATAAAAATTTTATTTATTTTGTAATATAATTTTTATATGGAACTTAACAAAAAAAAATTATGTATTTGGAATTAGTAACCCAAAAATATAGTACATATAATAGAGTGCAGATTCAAACTTAAAAACTACGTATGGTATAAAAGAAACATCCCAACTCATCTTTTTATGCTCTACATGTTTTATTTAAAACTGATTTTTTCTTGCTTTTTGAGATATAAAATTACTAATTAATTTTTTGTATTCAAGATTTTTTAGCACATTCATTTTCAATATTCAAATATTTTTAGTCCCATCTTAGGTAAGACTTTCTCAATTTTGGTTTTAAAAACATTTCTTTATGCAAATCATATATTGCCAATGTAAATAACAGTCTAATCTTTTTATATAATTTGATACATTAATTGTACTCTTTTTAACGGATTTATAATTATTTCCATTAAGCCAATTATCAATATTATATATACAAATAGTGAAAACCTAGGGTGCGCACTCGCTTAGTGGTGGCATAATTTTATCACAAAATTTTGTAATATCAATTACAAAATGCGTAATCTCGTCACAAGTTAACATATCAAAATGTCCAAAATTTGTAAATCTTGTAACAAAAGTTTGTGGTTTTGTTACAACATTTTTTATTATGTTAATTTGTGACAAGGTTAGGTATTTTGTAATTGATGTTACGAAATTTTGTAATAAAATTACATCAATTTATGATAGGGTGCATATGATATGTACTCCTGAAGATGTGTACACCAAAGGATTTTCCATGTATATACCAAACATTTACAAGTCTTCGTGAACTTCATCACCACTTCAGATGCGTCTTACTTAAAGTTTGTGAGTATTTTGATAGGTTTCTATCTATAATTGTTCCAATCTTAACATTTTCTTGACTATAATGATAATTGTTCAGTCAATTTAAGCATATGAATTATTAAAATCCAAAATAAATTTGGCCTTTATATTTAATTTTTAAGAAACTTGATCGAATGGTAATTTTTTCAGTTGTGGTAAGTGTTGCATCAACACGATTCCCAGTGTCCGGAAAGGCTAAAGTACATGGATTAGGATTTATTTGCAATAGTTTTTGCTGTGATAATTCTAACCACTTCATATTTAGGGTAAATTATTTGTAAGTCTTATTTGAAAGACTTATGCTACATATAATCCTATAAAAAAAAGTTACGTTTCTGTAAGTCTTGTGGGTTTCTTGTTGACACATTTACCCCCAATAGTATTAATTAATAACCTAATTAATGGCAATACCATATAGGAAATCTAACGTTACCATCGATTATGATCATATATATGAGGTTGGGAATTTGAATTTTAAAATTGATGTTCCATATATGAGAATTCCAATTTTACCATAAATTGTGATCATACTCATGCGATTGGGACTTTGACTGTGGTGTGGTGTATAATGGTATTGTTGCCACCCCCATTTTATGTTTGTTCATTGAAATGTGTACAAGTTAAGGGATTTTCAATCTGCTGCATTTGTTGTCCTTGACAATGTTAATGTCTTAACCCAGGTTAATGTGAACACAGTGGCAGTTTACATCAACTTGATTTATTGTGAAACATAAATGGAATGTGATGGATTCACATGTTAGTGGCTGTTGCGTCAAGTTTATTGGCACAGTTTGAAATAGAAATAGATCTATCTTTCATATGAAATATAAACAACCCAACATAAATGTGAGTTCACATTGAATGTGAAAATTACATTCTCATGTGCGTAGCCCAATTGGACAATAATGAGACAATGACGCACTTGGAACGTGCACCAATTGTTGGTTCTAGACTGCAAAGCATAATGTAAAAGTGTACACACTTATGAAGTCAATGTGATGTGATGTGATGTGATGTGAACATTGAATCTAATGTGGAAAAATGAAATGTGACAATGGGAATTCTCAAATGTATACCCTCAAATCTTGATGACAATGTGTACATGACTTTTGAAAATAGAACATGATGTCAACAAATGTGGGTTCGTATTGATACATTTTGTAAGTCAACACTTGGGGTCTTTTAGTAGTAGTAATTGGTGGCGAAACATGGCAAAATCATCAACAACATGCCATGCATTTTGCTTATTTATTTCAATAATTATAACATTAGTAGATGATGTTGAAGCCAGAACTTTATGTAGACTACATATAGTTACTTTATGCGGATTTCTCATATATGGAACGTCAATTTTAAAATTCAAATTCTCAGTCATATAGATAGGACCACAATCTATGGTAATATTGGATTTCCTATGTAGTATTGCCATTAATTATGTTATTAAATAATAATATTGGGGGTAAATGCGTCAACAAGAAATCCACAAGACTTAAGTTATAGGAGCATAAGTTTTTTCACAAGACTATATGTGGCATAAGTCTTCCAAATAGGACTTATGTGACGTGATGTGAACATTGAGTCTAATGTGGAAAAATGAAATATAACAATGGGAATCCTCAAATGTGTACCCTCAAATTTTGATGACAATGCGTACATGACTTTTGAAAATAGAATGTGATGTCAACAAATGTGGGTTCGTATTGATACATTTTGTAAGTCAACACTTGGGTCTTCTAGTACGTGATAGTAATTGGTGGCAAAACATGGCAAAATCATCAACAAGATGCATTTTGCTTGTTTATTTCAATAATTATAACACTAGTAGATGATGTTGAAGGCAAAACTTTATGTAGGCTGCATATAGTTACCCAAACGGTAATACAAAACACTAGTAGATGATTTTGCCATGTTTCACCACCAATTACTACTACTAGAAGACCCAAGTGTTGACTTACAAAATGTATCAATAAGAACCCACATTTGTTGACATCACATCCTATTTTCAAAAGTCATGTACGCATTATCATCAAGATTGGAGGGTACACATTTGAGGATTCCCATTATGGCATTCCATTTTTCCACATTAGATTCAATGTTCATAGGGCTGAGCAAGTGATCCGTGAAATCCGTAATCCGATCCAGTCCAGTCCAATCCGATAGGTTTGGATTGGTTTTTTGAATCCGCGGTTCGGTTCCGGATTGAAGAATTAAAAATCCGTAGTCTACGGATTGGTTCCGGATTGAATCCCACGGTTCCGGATTGGAACCGATCCGAACCGTATACAAATAGTCTATATTTTTATTATACATCCTCCCCCATAGTATCTTCTCTTAATTCTATATAAAATCTAAACTCAAACCTAAAACCATATAATATCTTCTTTTATTACTCTTGTTTGTTGTTTTTTAGTTTTAATTTGTAATGGTTTAAATACTTATAGTGAAACCAATTTTCTTATGGTTGTTTAAATTTTAGAACAGTATGTCGCTATTATAGAAAAATATGTTGCTATTGTGGAACTAATATAGCGCTATGTTTATATTTTTATAAAATTAAAGTGTTATAAATATATTTTTGTTATTTAATTATGTGAATCCGTGGTCCTAAACCGATTTAATCCATGTTTAAATGGATTGATTCGGATTGGTTCAACGATTTAAACGGATTGGATTAGTTTTAATTTTTCAAGAACCGTAGATAATGGATTGATCCTAGTCATCCCAATCTGAACCATGCTCGCCTCTATTCAAACATATCCAATTCATCAATTTAATAAATATTTTTAATTTCTAGATTAATGAAAATACAAACAAAACAAAGTTAAAAAATACTAAAGTTTCAAAAATAATGAGTTAGAATTAAGATTATATATAATAAGAATTTCGTGTTCAAAAAAATAAAATATATATATATGTATACATATATATATAACAAGAATTTACAAACTTAGGTTACAAAGATAATATTTAATTAATTAAGGGGTTAATAATTTATTATACTTATTAATATCATTGTATTATTAGATTATATATATATATATATATATATATATTAAATACAATATATGTTGAAACGGTCGATTTCGGTTTAGTTTGGTGCACAAGGTGTTTGAACTGATACCGAACTGAAAAAAAAAAAAAAAATCAAATTAAAAAACCGCACAGACCGATTCTTGTTAAAAAACAGACTAAATATAACCGATTTGATTCGGTTCAATTGGTTTGGTCGGTTTTTTCGGTTTTTCTTACATCCCTACATAGGATGTAAGTTGTATAATCAAATTCAAGAATTCCTCAAAAATTTCGAAGAAGAGAACATGGATTGTAGATGGACCTCTCTGCTCCAAACCAGACATTTACTTGGTAAGTTGACAACTGAACTTTATTTTTTTGACTAAAATTTCATTGAGGTGATATCAGAGGTACATGCAACTAGAAATGCTAGAAAATTTCCACTAGCAGAGCTTAAAACTTAATTAATTATGCCCATAAAGGGGACTGTCCGCTGGTTGTAACCCAAATTAGTTGTATTTTAATCGAATTTTAATCCTTTTTTGATCCCTGGCTCAATGCAACATATGCATTCAATATCAAGTTAATTCCAATAACAAATTAAAAGCTGAAAAAAAAAAAATGAATGCTTAAATCGACATAGAGAGTGAATATTCTGTAAAGTTCAAATTGACATATATGCAGTAGGAGTTTGGCTGGCAACTTTTAACTGTAAGAATTTGGAGCCATGGGCGGTTTCTCTTCAAACTATGACTCAACTAACGAAAAAAATGTCACATTAATGTTATTATCTCTTATGTGAGCCAAAAAATAAAAATAGTAAAAAATTATTTTCTCATACCGATTGGTTTTTAATTTTGGTTTTGCCTCAAAACTTGACACATTGCCTGTGTTTTAAGAAACAAAAACCGAGGATGCTTTGTCACCTGGTGAATCTACAAACTTGGGTGTCAGTTTTTATCCTCAGCTTATTCATCTTCTTCTCTGAATTCAGAAAAATAAGTTTGGCCTGACCACTTTAAAATTCTCAATAGAATATGAAGGAATTTACTCTCTTTTTCTTCTTCTTTTTTTTTGGGGGATGAATATGAAACTCTTGCATTTTGAGAGATTCTCATAAGGGCACATGCTCAGGTAAATAATATTTAATGGACATGAGGATATATAAAATTAATCATTTGTGGTTTGACATTCCAATCTTTGCAGATAAACCCTACCCTAATTTGTTGTGAACTAGCAAATTTATTTATGAATTAAAAAAGAAAAAAAATCATTGAAACGAGGTGGTCTAAAAGGCTAGTGAGAAAAGCTTAAAATCTTGCAGCAATTTGCGTTATTCAAGGCGTAAACGTGCCCTATCATGCATCGACAACTGGGAACGCATTATCTAATTAAAAATGAGAAATTTGAGCCTTAAAACCAGAATTAGAAAAGCTGTTTGTATATGATATCGTCTTTATCTGGGGAAGCTGAAGCTGCCAATTTTTCTAATATTGTTTTGCATTTTTTAGAGACTAATTTGATTCTATATATACCTCCTTTTCGTACTGACTAATTCATCACTGGACACAGTTCTTCACTCATCTATTTTTTTTTTTTCCTAATTGGCTCCTTTCTTTGCTTACAATGGCAATGAAAGCTACGCTCTTTCTCTTTGCATATGTGCTTTTGGTCACCACTTGGGTATGTTTATGCTATGTTACACACTAAAGTGACAATACTGTCAATCATAGTTGTTTCCTATATTTTTAATTTCCAATGTTTCTTTGTCAACAATTTAAATGACATCATGTGGTTTTCCTCAATTTTCCTTCCTATCTTTTTGTTTTTCAAAACATGGAATGGGTGAAAAACAAACCAATGACATGTTGCATTTTGCTTCCAATTACTGGTTTTTTCATGGGTTATGGTATTAAAGCTTTTTGTCAAATACGTAGCATGTCATGAGTCTAATGGTGTGTTTGGTTGGGGGATTTGGGGAGGGAATTGGAAAGGAAAAGGGAAAAGGTGTGTGAAACTAGGTGAAATGTAAGTATATTTTATTTACATTTCACCTAATTTTTCCTTTTCCCTTTCCAAATCCCTCGTCAAATCCTCCAACCAAACACAGCGTAAGGACATCTCAAAAAAAAAAAAAGAAGCCAAAATTTTTAATTTTGGTATAATTGTTGAACTAGTAAATTGTATGGTAATTAACAAAAAAAAAAATCTTCTTCAACATTTCAAAAGATAAAATAATCTCAAGGTTTGGTATATATGTTCATATATGATAGGGGTAGGACAATTTGATTTAATTTGTTGTGTAGCTGAACACACAAAAAAGCAAAGTCAAGGAAAGTCATGTCTAGAATCACTAAAATGATGCTTAATTTCTATGTAATCTCATAGTTGGTTTTTAGTTCACCTCAAAGTAATAAAAATGAAACTAGATAATATTTCTTAATCCATTTCTGTGCACTGATTTGACTCATTTTATGCTAGCTCATTATTCGATTTGTTCGGCTCCTTAATAAATAAATATAATAATAATAATGTAAGGTTTCATGGTTGGTTTTTAGGTGTGTACTCATTCTTTATCCTTTCAAACACACATTAATGTATACTAATTAGGCATTTTTTTTTTTTTACCTGGGGCAACATAGCCAACTGTTCCTCTAATCCCAACTAAACTTGATTGTTGATGATTGGATAGACCAGTGATTGCTGAAAAAACCTTCGCCAAGCCAAAATCGCTAACATGGGCACACAAATCACCATCAAGAAGAATATTGCTTGGCTTTAAATCACAATGAATAAAAGTCATTTCACAATGATGGTGAAGATAATCCAATGCAGAAGCCACATCAATTGCAATGTTTAGCCTTTGAACAAAATTCAAGTTCTTAGGTTCTTGCTGCTCTGAAAGACTTGGGTGTAACCATCTCTCTAAACTCCCATTTTCCATGAACTCAAAGACCAAGGCCTTGAAATCATTGCCTTTAAAATCAATACTTGAGCAAGATGTGATTATCTTGACAAGATTTCTATGGCGAATGTTCTTCAATGCTTCACATTCTGTTATGAAACTCTTGCTCGCTCCATGTTTGTGAAGGTTGAGTACCTTCACAGCAATAATTTGTTCACCAAAGTTGAGAATCCCTTTATAAACAGAAGCATATCCTCCATCACCAATTAAGTTGTCCAGAGAGAACCCATTGGTTGCTTGAAGAAGTTCTCCATAAGAGAGTTGTAGATAATGGTTTTGCAATGGCGGGGCTTGACATGATTGTTGTCTGGACCTTCTCATTCGACAAAGAAAAGCTAAAAGGAAAAATAATAATAGAACAATAGTGAGAGTAACTACTATAGTTATTGCTCTATGGTTTAAAGATCGTTTCCTTTCCTTTGAGTCTTTCACCAAACATGCAGGTAATTGTAATTCTTCAATTCCTCCACAAAGCTTACTATTTCCAGCAATTGAGAAGGCACTGATGTTTGTGAAAACTCCTCTGTTTGGAACTTCACCTTGAAACATATTGTAAGAAAGATTGACATATTGAAAGAACGGAAACTTGCCTAGAAACATCGGAATCTGTCCAGACAAGTTATTGTGAGAAACATCTAGGAATTGAAGACCTTTAAGTTGTTCGAAAGATTTGGGAATTGTACCTTCGAAAAGGTTATTCCCCATTATGAGATATTCTAAAACTTGACAACTACCAAGAGCAACTGGTATTTCTCCAAACAGTTTGTTGTTTGAGACATGTAGTTCCTCTAGATTTTTCAAGTTGCCTACTTCTTGTGGTAGTAGTCCTGTTAGGTGGTTTTGATTCAAGAAGAGAGCAATGAGAGAAGAAAGATCAAAGATTTGTTGAGGTATTGCTCCAGTGAGGTAATTGTATTCAAGATGGATTACTTGTAGATTTGTACAATTACCGAAAGACATAGGTATGCTTCCTTCTATCATATTACCACAGAGGTAAAACATGCCAAGTTGAGTTAGGTTTCCAATAGAGGATGGAATATGTCCAGAAATGTTATTTTGGCAAAGCAACAACCTTTCCAACATGGACAGTTTTCCAATGGAATCAGGAATACTATCTGTGAGCATGTTGTTACCTAAATCGAGCTTCCGCAAATTTACAAGGTTCCCAATACCCAGAGGTATGCTTCCAAATATATAGTTCTCTGCTAGACCAAACCAAGTGATCTTGGTGGAGAGATTTGCAATGGCATGGGGAAACAAACCTTTTAAACCATTTCCACCCAGATCCAGAGTTTGTAAATTGGAACAATTGGATAAAGAAGTGAGGAAGTTCATTATTTCATTGCCTTCATTTGTTCCAAGTGAGTAGCTATAAGCTAGTAATGCTTCTAGAGCATCAAGGGTACCTAGGTTCGTTGGCATGGGCCCGGTAAAAAAATTGCCACTAAGACTAATTTGTACAAGTCTCGTAGCATTGGCTATTGACAACGGCACAGGGCCATACAACTGATTGTTTCCAATATAAAATCCTTGTAAATTTGGAAGGGTCAAGCCTAAATCTGGTGGGAGAATTCCATGCAATTGGTTGCCAGTGATAGAGAAGTAATAGACTGATGAGATGTTGTAAAGTGATGGAGGAACCGTACCGGACAAATTGTTTACCGCCAGTTGAAGAAACTCCAACTTTGAAAGGTGCCCAAGTTCGGTGGGAATAGTTCCCTCTAGATTATTGTCCACCAGACAAAGCACACGTAGACTGGAAAGATTCCCAATTGAAATTGGGATAGTTCCAGTTAGATGATTGACTCCAAGATTCAAGTGCCAAAGATTGGACAAGGAACCCAGCTCAGAAGGAATTTTACCTCCTAGATTGTTACCACGCATACTGATAACTCTCAAGTGTGAACAATGAGTCAAATTGGTAGGAAATTCACCTTGGAAAGAGTTATTCAAAAGCAGAAGATGCTGCAGATGAAACAACTTGCCAATTTGTGGTGGGATTTCTCCATGAAAACTATTGTTACTGAGATCAATCGTCCTAAGGAAGGTGAGGTTCCCAATTTGAGGAGATAGAGAACCCACCAATGTTAGAGATGATATGTTTAGGATTGTCACACGTTGATGTCGACGACCGCATGAGACTCCTTGCCAATTGCAAAAGTGAACGGAATGATTCCATGAGCTTAAGGTACTGAAAGGATCTACTGTTATTAGATCCTTGATTGCAAGCAGGGCTTGATGGTCTGTCCCATTTGTGAAGGGTAAACTAGTCTTGGATGATGATCCAAGAGAGATCATGGCAAAAAACAAGAAAATGAAACAGAGGAGAGGTGTATTTAGTTGCCTCATAAACAACATATCCATTTGTTCCATTTGGTGTCTAAAACACATATGAAGTGATGAAAAATGAGCTGATTCAATTACGCTACCAAAGTAAGAACCACATGTATATATAGTTACAAATATATGAACCATAGAATGTTTATTGTTTTTTTAATTACTCCACTAATGCTTTTGTTAGTCAGTAGCATCATATTAACATAATGAGCAACTACTATGAATTGATATATTTATTGATACACATTGATTAATCTCTATATAATTATTATTATTGTTTTATTTAGATTTTAATGGGCCAACATGACAACATAGGTTCCAATTGCCGGGAGATTAAAAATTGTTCTTGACTTGCTTTCTCTGCCGTCTTTTAACTCTTAGAATAATGATGGCACAGTGAAAGTCAGGAATGGGCACTAAATTGATGTTGATTTAGAAATGTAGATCGTTGATTCCAAGCCAAATGTCGCACATGAGAAAATTATCAATAATTAATGTAATGATGATCATATTCTTTTATCATATCATTTCATCTGTCCACACAGGCTTTGGTACCAAATATGAGTAATAGTACCATCTCAACTCTCCACACATGAATGATAGGACCGTTAACTAACATAGTGTTTACACATAGGTGATAAACATACTACTATAATTATTAATTTATATAGGGAAATTCTATAATACATACCTCATTTTGGAGTATGTACCATATGCTCTACTTATCATGTCACTGATATTTGGTTATGAACTATTATGTTTAGTTATGACCTGGTCATGACTTTTTGTGGTGTTAGTTATTATTCATTGTGATGTTGATTATGATCTATTTTGATTTTTTTAATTTATTTATTTATTATTATGATTGAAAAGGTCTTTGTGTATGTTTTGGTGTTTCATTATGACTTTTTCATTTTTTTTTTTTTTTTGAAATTATGATTGAAAATGATTTAGTTATGATATTTGTGGTAATCAACATCACAAATGTCATAACTTGCATATGATACGCACTCTTTTAAGGGTGTGTATTATAGTATGACCGATTAATATATTTTATATTTATCCATTACAATATCAACATAAAACTGAGTCCGTTTGTTTAAATTAATAACCGTTGAGTTACAACTTGTTCTAAATATTCAGAATTTGGTAGCAGAATATGAGGGAGAAAACTGACTCACTAATTAATGCCCATTAATATAGGGAGATTTCAGATCAGTGTAGAATTTGAAAAATAATTACTCCTACAAATTAGTGATACACTTCATCAATATTAATAAATAAAATTATAAACTTTTTCATCCATATGTAATAATTTCATCAATTCTGACAGGTAATTTTTCCATTTAAATATGCATGAGAGATAGCTGACTCGTTAATTAGTCCCCATTATGAGTGATATTTATTAGTCTTTGATGCATGATAACTTCATAACCTACTATGTTATGAGCTAATTCTTTTCTTTCTTTTTTTTTAAGTGGTATCAGTATTGTTTATGGCCAAAGCTCTTTCATGCATAATAGAACTAAGCGAGAGCAGAAAACTCAAAACATAGCAATGACAAAATAAGATGTACAAGGCATAACATGGGGCATTTTCCCCTAGTGCAAATTAAGAAGAAAACTTATATGAGAGAGAGAGAACATAAACATAAGCTAGAGATGTGGTTAATTCAGTTGAGAATCATTCATCCTCTCATTCTAACGCCCTTGTCTCCTGTTTTCCAGAAATACATTTCTAATCTTGTGTAGTTTTGTGAGAACATCTTTGGCCGTCATTCCCTCACTTGGCAATTCAGAAGAATATGAAACTCCAATTTGAAGGATTGGTACAAGGTACACCTCCAATTCAGAAATGAAAGCTGAGCTACTTTGCATGATCTTACTCAGCTCCTCTTCTTCTTCCATCATGATTTTAGGATCAACGATCTCTGTTACTTGACCAGGAGGAGACATTTTTGCATAGCTGTGGAGGTTAATATTGCCAGTGAACATGCTATCAGTAGGTCTTTTTCTTGTGAACATTTCGAATAGTAGCACTCCATAGCTTTACACATCACCTTGTGTTGATACCTCCTCACTCACACCATACTCTGCAATATAAAACAGTTAAATAAATACCTATATTTCAAAATTTTCAACATTTAAAAATAGGTGAATTACATTGGTAGTCCCTCTATTTTGACCCTCGTGTCATTTTGGTCATGTAATTTCAATTCATTCAATTTTGACCCTGAATTTATGACCTCGCCTCAATTTAGCCCAACTGATTACAACTGTTAACATTTTTAATAGAAAATATGCACATAAAAGCCATATTTTTAGAAGCAAAATTAATAAACTTGGCCAACTTCGTAAGTTAATCTCAATCAATTTAGTGATTATTTTCATCAAAAACACTAACAATATTATCAATTTGATCAAATTGACACAAAATCTAAAATTAAGCATCAAAATTAAGCCAATTGAAAGTATAGGGACTAAAATGATACAAAGGGCAAAATATAAGGAATACTAGTGTAATTTACCTTTTAAAAATATAAAATTATCTCAAGGGTTAATATTTATTTATTTTTTTTATCAATAGAAAATCTATTAAAAGAAGCCAAAGCAGCACTTACAGAGACCATCCAAGAGCAAAGCTTACACCAAACAAAGAAGAGAAATTACAAGAAGCACACTAGAGAAAAAGGAAAATGAGTGAGACCCCTTTTTGAAGGACCCCACAACCCCCAAAGTGATCCACACCACTCATGATGTGTAGGGTGTGGTGGCGACAGCGATGAGGGACGAAGGAGGAAGATCTGGTAGATCCAATGAGGCCCCGGCTGAGAAAGACGAAGAAAATGAGAGAGAAGATTAAGAGTAGAGATTCCACCATGAGGGGAAAGTACCTCACACGGAGGGAGAAGATAGGAAGACTAAGCTTCCAAAGCTTATGGAACCATATAGGACAAGGAAAAAGGAAGAAAAAGAGGGATAGAAGGAAGGAGAGAGGCGGCTAGAGGCTGGAGACCCCCTCCCCACCTCGAGCGGCGACTTCGTGAGAAACCCTAGGAGCAGTATTTCCTATTTTTATTATTTTTATAATAATTATGGCAAGGTTTGTTAATGGGGCAATTATTCTACATGTGGCATTGATGTGTTCATCTCTAAAAAAAACTGAGCTAGCCACTCCTTGATAAGGAAAGGAAAGGTAGGAGCTAGGGCCGAGCAAGGAATCCATAAAATTCGTAATCCGATCCGGTCCAAACCAATCCGGTAGGTTTGGATTGGTTTTTTAAATCCACGGTTCGGTTTCGAATTGAAAATTTAAAAATCCGTAGTCTGTGGATCAATTTCGGATTGAATCCCACGGTTTCGGACCGGAACCGATTCAGACCGTATACAAATAGCTTATATTTATATTATACACCCTCCCGCATTGTATCTTCTCTTATTCCACATAAAACCTAAACCCAAACCTAAACCCGCATAGTATCTTCTTTTATTGCTTTTATTTGTTGGTTTTTAGTTTTAATTTGTAATGGTCTAAATACTTATGGTAGAACCAGTTTTCTCATGGTTGTTTAAATTCTAGATTAGTATGTCACTATTATGGAAAGACATATTGCTATTGTAGAACTAATATGATACTATGTTTATGTTTTTATGAAATTAAAATATTCTATATATATATTTTTGTTATTTAATTGTAGGAATCCGTGGTCCTAAACCGATCCAATCTATGTTTAAATGGATTGATTCGGATTGGTTTCACGACTTAAACGGATTGAATTGGTTCTAATTTTTCAGAAACCGTAGATAACGGATTGGTCCTGGTTTTATCCAAGTCTAGACCAATCCAGACCATGCTCACCCCTAGGAGCACTTTAACGACGTTTTTGGGTCCCCGAAGGCCCAAATAGATTGGATCGTTTTTGCCAACGAAATGCTGGCATCGACCAGCTTTGCGATGCAAACGGGGACAAGAAGAAGAACGCAGGCAGCAAAAATGCAAAAGGGAAGAGCAAAGATTCCTCATTTTCCTTCGGTTTCACACGTTGACTAATGGGCTATAAAATGATGCTATGGGATTGCTTCTGCGGGAGGAGATGCTGGTCCACAGCACTCCCGCTTTGCTGGCTTGGTATTAGGAGATTCTTATTACTGCTCCTCCAACACCGGTTGAGCCGAAATCTAACAAAGATGACAAAGTTGATTCACGAGGCGGATTGTCTATTTTGTTGGAACATGTGAAATTTATATAAGTGAACGGTCCAGATCTATTTATTGTATTACATCTATGAAATAATTTTTCTTATTAATGTGTAGATTGTTTTTTTATTTTTTTTAGATTGAATTAATGTGTAGATTGTCGATTCTAAACCAGATGTTAACTTAGGAAATTTATTCACAATTATGACTACATTTTATTTTCATGAGTGGTAGGACTATTAAATTAATACAGTGTGTACTCATAAATTAATAACATATTGTGATTTCCCTTGGAATAATACTATACACTGATTATTAATTAATAAATCTTATATTGTCTATTAATTAAAATATCAATTTAAAATAATGAGTCCCAACACTGCATAGACTTGTTCTTACAAGACTAATAATTTAAAGTGAATATGTTAGTTTAATTTTAAACATTAAAGCTTATAAAAACATTCACAATTTTGTAGCAAAATAGGAGGGAGCACATTGACCCGTTAATTAATGCCAATTAAAATATGAACGAGAGATACACATCAATTTTTGTGCATTGATTTGACTCATTTTATGCTAGCTCATTATTCAATTTGGTTCGGTTTCTTTTAAATTTGAAAATTTAAATTTGAGATAGTTTGAGAGACTCGTAGAATTCATCACAAGTCATATTTCAATAATTTGAACCGTTCATTTTGTAGAATCATTTGTTCATATTATCTATAAAAAAAAATTAAATTAATTTAATAATTGTAATATTTTTATTTGATCGCATTTATTTCCAAAAAACCGGATGGTCCATTTTAAAAAACGTACTTGTCATTCATATTTTTAGAGATAAACACAATAAATAAAAATGTTATGATAATTATCAGATCGACTTAATTTTTATCATGGATGATATAACTAAGGATCCAACAAAATGAAGCTTCATATCATAGAAATAGAGTCTTTGACACAAGCTCTTCAAGTTCTCTCAAATTCATGTTTGAATTTGGAAAAAGCTCAAGCTTCCTATTTCAATATCATTTTGTTAATGATTTTGTTTTAAAATTGAACCAAATTAATCCAAATTAAAAATTTCAAGAATGAATTTGACAAAATTAAAACTAAGAACCATGTAAGTGACACCTAACACAAACATAAACACTTTGCATTGAGTCTGGATCCTCTGCCGTGAAATCCTACCATACTCCCTGCCATGCATCCAAAACCACATCGTTTGGACAGAATTTTTTTTTTTTTTTTAACTTCTTCTTAGACCCCATTGCCAATCACCTTGCCACCACCGGCCACCGCCGTACAACCTTTCCTCTTCCTCTTCTCCCTCTTTCTTCTTCTTCCTCTTTTTTCTTTTTCTCTCTTAAAACTACCAAACCCACCACTACCTTTTCTTCTTCTTTTTCTTCTTCTTCTTCTTCTTCTTCTTCTTCTTCTTCTTCCCTTCTCTCTTCAAAAACTACCAAACCCACCACGACAGCGGCAGCGAGGCGACGACAACGGACAAATTCCAGAACAAATTTGTTATTGAATCTTCAATTCCATAACAAATTTGTAGAACATTTGAAACTTATGGACAATCAGTGAAAACCCATTTCCTCAATCTTCAATTCCAGAACAAATTTGCCAAATCTTTGAAACATTTTCGCACCCATCGATCA